ATATATTCAAAAGCAAGAACAAAGCTTGTAACATTTACAACATTTAAATCATAAATCATGAAAATCACAAAACCCAAAAGGATTCACCATAAACTAGGCCTAGGCTCTGATACCACTTGAAGGAAAAAAAATTGTCCTAGCTAAGAACAAGTAAGAACATTTGAATACATATGCAAACTATTAACACTTTAAAGTAGGCATGCATTAAAAAACAATTCATAAAACCCATGACTTTCAAAGCCTAGTATATGGTGAACCAATAAACTCTTTAACAACATTAAAGATAAGTAAAGATTTAGAGTTTCTTTACCCTTGAAGCTCATCCTTGTTTACACAAGGGATTCACCCAAGTGGAGGGCCTTCAAGTCACCTCCAAGCTCCTTGGATATTCCTTGTGATTTTCCTCCTTTTAGTGCTCCTTTACTTCTTTGAGGATTTTAGGATTTGTTCTCCAAAACACCAAAAATTTGATGTCTCTAACTCTCCACACCAAGGATGTATCTTGTGAAGATAATATGGATGACTTAGGGAAGAAGAGATTGCTAGATGTCCCTCCCCTAAGTGGCCGGCCTCTTTAGAGAAAAATGAGAGAAAGTGTTTCACCCAATTTCTTTAAGAAAACCCTAATTAGAAATAAAGCTGTAAAGTTCCTTTTATACTTCATTTCAAGTGAGTGGCAAACTTGTAATTAATCCAAGCTTGCCCATTCACCCTAATGGCCGGCCATATTAATGTTATTGGGCTATTTGCCCATTTTGTTTTAGTTGTCATACAACTTAAACATAATGGGCCTTTTGGACCAAAACGCTTTTGGGCCCCAAAACCCAAAACCAACATATAAGCCCAATACGAACCTTTCGTAAAATTAATTAACTAATTAATTAATCTTGACCATTCTTCAATTAAACCATTTAATTGCATATCCATTTCATTTAATTTCTTCACTATCACCCTTACTCGGTGTACGATCCATTAGGTTCCAATTAGCGAGGTAGTGGGCGATTGTTACTCTTAACGATCGATTGTGAATTGAAACCACATTTCAATTCTCCCTTTTATGATTAGTGTTGCCTAATCATTAGGGCTTCCACAAACCATGAGTGACACCTAGCAGTATGTCATGGTTACCCAAGCTAAGTGGAATTGGTTGGAGAACCTATCCAGTTACAACTACAATGCAATACGGTCCTTCTCTAATACAATACTCTTAATCACATTGTTTGAATGATAGTTTGTTTCATGTCTACTATCCAATGCGATACTTCTCTATATGATTCCCTTGAATATGATTTGGAACAAACTTCCTAAGTCATATTCATTTGCTTTGGCCAAAGACTTACGAATCATATCTTAGAGCATTCTCCTTCCACCATGGAAGGTTAGAGATCCCTTGTTGTGCATTCATATGCCTACACGACTAGATAACTTGACCCCAACAATGCCGTGGACACTCCGATGGAATGCCGTTGACATGATCAAAGATCAAGGACCTAACCATTAGACATCTATGATGCCTCAGGTCAAAGGACTACTTTGCATATTGCAACTTTCGAGTTCTTACATGACATGTATGTTCGAACTCTCTTTTGATCGTTGTTTAGTGTACTCGATTACTCTTTCGAGCACCTATGTGTTTGTCTTAGTGTCCAACACCAAATGACTTGAGACTAGTCATACTCACGCTTAAGTCAACATAACACATACTAGCCTTAGCGGATTGTCAATGCCCAATCGGCAATCCTATGGCTAGGAACGTTTTAGGAATGAACATAAGAGAATGGTCTCGATAATCTAACTCACTTAGATCACTTGTCTCTTAGATCAAATACATCCCTTGGATTCCCTTATTACTTAAACACATGATACAATAAATAGTGATTAACAATAAGCTTTGCCCTTCATTAAACATATAAAAGTTTAATACATTAAGTATTCCAAAAAGTTATTACATCAAATGAGTGGCTTTGTGGGCATACTTCCAACAAAGGGTAACAGGGCCGTTGGTTCAAAAATCGAAAAGGCACCACTCTTCGGATTTCGAAAAAGCAACACTCGCCACATGCAACATCAGCTCCTCGGGTATCACAGATAACTTTGCCAAAGATGGCTGACAAAATTAGACACATAAATTTTAAAGGATCAGCTACCCTAATATTACCCACAAGGGTAAAGGAACAGCACCACTGCTTGATAACTAGAAAGTCCAAATGTGGGTCAACCTCCGTGCTTCGTGGCAAGGTAGACTGGCAAAAATGCCCAACCTTTACTCACATTCAAGAAAACACTCCTAACAAGATTTCTTGCTAAAAAATCGAAGAGGCACAGCTCTCCAAATCTCGAGAGCCAGACTCCCAACAAGATTACGTGCTAAAAAATCGAAGAGGCACTGCCCTCCGAATCTCAAGAGCTAAACTCCCAACAGGATTACGTGCTCAAAAATCAAAGAGGCACCGCCCTCCGAATCTCGAAAGCCAGACTCCTAACATGATTACTTTCTCAAAAATCGAAGAGACACTGCTCTTCGAATTTCAAGAGTCAGACTCCTAACAGGATTGTTTTCTTAAAAATGGAAGAGGCACCGCTCTCCGAATCTCGAAAGCCAGACTCCCAACAGGATAACGTGCTCAAAAATCAAAGAGGCACCGCCCTTCGAATCTCGAGAGCCAGACTCCCAACAGGATTACTTTCTCAAAAATCGAAGAGACACTGCTTTCTGAATCTCAAGAGTTAGACTCCCAACAGGATTACTTTCTCAAAAATCGAAGAGGCACCATTCTCTAAATCTTTAGAGCCAGACCCTCGACAAGATTGCTTGTTCAAAAACTGAAGAGGCATCTCTCTCCGAACTTCGAGAGTCAGATTTCTTTAGATAAAGCTTGTCTGCAATCTTCACACGCAACATCAGCTTTCCAGATACCACAGACCACTTTTTCAAAGTGCTTTGACAAAGTTAAAACATGTGAAGCTTGCAGCTCCCACTACATTACTATGACCAAGAAGGGTAAAGGAATGACATTACTACATGTTGTTAGGGAGACTCCTATATATGTCAACCTCCATCCTCCACAGCTAGGCAGACCTGCAAATAAAAAAAAATGCTCAACTTTTCTTCACATCCGAGAGGGCACTCTCAGCAGAGTCTCTCGAAATACTCACCTTATTTTCCTCCCGAAAATACCTCTGCAAAAAAGCCACACTATAACAAAAGTATCTCATATCATCAGGGTTAAAAGCAAGAGTATCTCATATCATGCTTTTTCCTTGTCTTTTCCTTTAGCCTTGTTCTTACCTGCAAGACAAGGAGAAAGAGAGCAATCAGTCAGCACTTGGAATCAAGCTTCTAGTCAGGAACTGACTGCCTGGAACCCCTTGCCTGATTACTTACCTAGCATTGCTCTCGAGTACTCATTTTCAACATCTTATGCTTCCAGAGAAGATACCACATCTGCCTGAAGAACAGATAGGGCAAGTGAGAAGGATACAAGGAAGCATATGGAGACAAGCGTAACAAAATATGTGCCGATACATCCACTACTTTGTCAACAGCAAAAGTATCTCATATCATCAGGGTTGAACGTACTCTAGATTTAATGGACTTGTTTTGACCCTCAAATTCTTGAGTCGGCTTTATACTCTGGAGGAAACCAGGAAACCCTCAAGCCCAGTTCAAGAATAAGCCTGTGGAAAGTTACTTCTTCAAAAGCAAAAGTATCTCATATCATCTCTTCTCCATTTGTTTCTCCTTATACTTGTTGCTGTTTACGACACAAGGAGAAGGAGAACAATCAATCGGAAGCCGAAGTCGAACTTCCGATCCAAGTTGCTTGCTTGGAAGTCTGATTGCTTACCTTGTCTGTTACCTCCTTCGGCAAATCTCCTAGCTCGGCGAATTGGGGGACTCCTACTATAGGGTTTGTATCGCACTTAACCAAGCCCGAAACTACAAGTAAGCTTCAATTGAAATTGATACATTACCTTGTGCATCTTCATCGGTTAAAGATACCACCTTTGGATGGAGGAAAAGTACTTCCAGAGAAGATGTCACATCTACATATGAGACAGATAAGACAAGTGAAAATGATACCACACTTCGGTACTTAGAAGTTTCATGATTACTCAATGACTTGGATCTTGCAAGTCCCCAACCGAGGAGCTTCCCTCACTCGGGAACTTAGGCGAGCACTGTTTGTACTATACTTGACCAATCCCAAAACTACTGAGCACCGGTAAACGTTATACCGTCAAGGACCCAGAAGAGTTTCCCTCCAACTAGGAGGCCAATCACAGCGCGACACGTGTCGACATCAGAAGCCAATCATAGCACGTATCAACATCAGAAGCCAATCACAATACGACACGTGTCAATGTCATAATGAAACTAGAAACTCTCTTCTATAAATAGAGATCATTCTCTCACAATATTTCCTAATGTCATTTGTACTAAATCATTCAGTAGTACTCACTAAAGGAGAGCTTGAACCTATGTACTTGTGTAAACCCTTCACAATTAATGAGAACTCCTCTACTCCGTGGATGTAGCCAATCTGGGTGAACTACGTACATCTTGTGTTTGCTTCCTTGTCTCTATCCATTTGCATACTTATCCACACTAGTGACCGGAGCAATCTAGCGAAGGTCACAAACTTGACACTTTCTGTTGTACCAAAGTCCTCGTTGATTTTGTGCATCAACACATTCTATATAATATACTGTATGCTACGCAGTTTCCTCTATTTTATTGCACAAATGCATACTTTAAAAAACGTGGAGTTTTGCAAAACTTATAAAAACATATATATATTCAGAAAATTTAATAATCGTCGTGGTCCTCTCCGAGGGCGGATAAATTACTAACTTGACTCTGTAGTAATCACACACCAAGCATCTCTTCCTCCATAATCAAACCAAAAACTTCTCTCATCTCACAGCTCCCAAATGGCCACGGTTCATCTCTAAATCTTACACCAACTAGTACTACTTCCTGTTCTAGAAGTGAGCATATGACTTCAAAGAGAGAAACCTTCACTATATGGATGAAATCGCTTGTGATGCAAGGAAATGGGTGCACTACCTTTGATGAAAATGGAAAAGTTGTTTATCGCATAGATAACTACGACAACAAGCACAACAACAAAGTTTATCTCATGGATCTCCGCGGGAAACTTCTCTTTACTCTAGGTGAGAAGAAAATGAGCGTTTTTACAAGTTGGAATGGGTACAAAGGCAACGATATTGGTGCCAAGAAGCGAATGTTTCAAGTGAGAAAAAGTTGTAGAATTAATCTTGGAAATAAAGCCTGTTCTTGTAAAGTAACAATGGGATCTGATAGAAATTGCTACAAGTTAGAGGGTTTGAATTGTAAATCATCATTATCAACTTTCAGAATAAGAGACAGCAATGGAAGAATTGTAGCAGAGGCAAAGAGAAAGCAGTCAAGTTCAGGAGTAGTTTTTGGAGATGATGTGCTGACTTTGGTGGTGGAGCCTCACGTTGATCACTCCTTCATCATGGCTCTTGTCACTGTTTATGGCTTAATTAGACATCCAATATGATTCTTAGAGCAGTCTCAGATACATGTATGGATAGATGTCTAAATAGTAGAGCAGCATGGTAAAATCAATTTAGTTTGTGTGTTTTTTATAACCAATTTTTGGTTTTTTTTTTTTCTTTTTTTTTATTTGTGTGGGAATTCAACCTTTAACTCTGTGAGACATACATATATGGATCCAGCTTTTCTCCTAATTAATTTTCAGACACGCTGATTAATTACTCATTCTTTTCGGTCAAATACTATATTTATTTTACTTCGTGGTGATTTTAGTTTTTAAATACAATGACATTTTCTACACTAGGGGGAGTTTCACAAAGCTGTACAATGGGTAACTTTCCGAAAACAAAAATAAAAGCCCTAATCTTGTTGGCTGGTTGATACATTTCTATAATAGTATTTCATCACATCCATCTATTAACACATGCCATTAGGGTGGTTTAACAAAAGAAATAGAATTACAATTTAGGGATGTTAATTCAAATAAGTGAGTTTTCTCCAAAAAAAAAAAAAAAAAAAAAAAAAATCAAATACGTGAGAAAATAAATTAAGATTATCCCGTAACGTACGAGAAAAATATTGTAACAACCAAATGATTGTTGCAGTCCTATTAGATTAGGAATGTGATTGTATAAATCCTAGTAGATCTAGGAATATCTCTTATATTCCTATTATTAGTTAATTACCTATTAGAGTTGTAATCCTAAAAGGATAAGGAATTAACTTTCGCTACTACTATAAATAAAGGCACAATGGGGTGATACAACACTTACCTCACAATTACACATCTCTCTCTTCTCTCTCTATGCCACACCCTCTCTCTCTTTTTGGCCTCCATAATTGTTTAAGTAAATTATGCCTACAATACATTATCAGTATGTTCTTGACGCTATGCCAAAGAGAGTTTGTTCTTCAATCAGGAGAGTATTACGTTTTAATCATTCTTTTTATGATTAATTTATTATTTTGTTGAATTGATCTACATGCTATTGATTCCATTTAATTTTTCTATGTTGAACGTGATACAACGCATTGGAGATGCAATTCTAGCTTTCAGAGAAGGATCTTCTACAAATTCAAAGGCTTTTGTTGTTTTCTGTCAATTAGGTATGCTTAAAATAAATAAAGATATTTGAAACGACCATGAAGCATAAAAATATTCCCCATGATACATGAACCCCCTACATTTATATTTACCTTCCAATATATATATATATATATATATATATATATATGTATGTATGTATGTATATGTATATGTATATGTATAGTATATGTTTCATATATTTGTCAATATACATGTTTCATGCATTACGCAATTAAATTGCCATGTGGAATTGTGAGTCAAAGCATATAAATAAATTAGAAGCAAATTGGGTGGTTTTCAAACCCTAAACATGTCGGGAAAAAAAAATTGCATTAGGCCCTGTGCGGCACCACTACCGCACCACCATCATGGCACCACCAGACCATCACTGGCCTGAAGCCCAGTCGTGTGGCGTACATCATGACATGGTGACGTTTTTGTCACCCTTTGACCACACGGCAGCAGCCTTTGGGCTTGCTGCGTTGACCCAGACATCCCAAGGCCTTTGGCTTGATAAACCTAATTGGCTTGTAGACCCTTAGCCTAACCAAAAGCTTGCAGCATTTTGGCCTGATGTCCCACGATGTCCTGTAGGCCACTGTGCTATGCCATGCACCCCGGCCTGCTTGCTCGCAGACTTGTCTGCTAAGCTTGGCTTGCCCTAACCCGAACCTAGCTTCAACTAGGCTTCCCACGCCAACCCAACGGCCCGCTCTTTGTTGGGCTTGCACCCGTTCCCAATTACTTGGCCCAAACGTTAACAGCTGTTGCTACTGGGCTCCCAGTCTCGACCTGTAGCCTGTAGCCACATATGGGCTGCTCTTGCAGCCAAACCCAAGCCCAATTGCCTTTAGGGCCTTGCCCTACTTACGTAACCCAGGCCAATTACCAATGGGCTATGGTTTTTCAAATCAAAAGCTATTATTTAGCATTTTAAATAATTTTAACCCGAATGTTATTGTTATTTTGCTTCCACGATCAACCCCGTTTGGTCCCGATCTATTGAATTAATTAAAAGTGACCTGTAGTCCATTAAAAGTGACCCCGTTGACATATTTTTGTAGTAACGAAGCTCTCACACTTGAGTTCCCGAAGTAACTCAAATCCACTATACTTAAATCAGCATATTGCATTCTATATTTCTTGCAGGAACCTCTCCTTTATGAACTAAACGTTCATAAACTAAATTGAACCTGTAGTTTCAAATTTAGTGCCTTTGAAACCCATAGTTTTCATAAAACAATACACCCATGGAAACCGGACGTTTTTCATGAAAACCATGTCTTAGAACTTAAATGTTCTAACTTTGATGCTTATGGATGATTCATTCCTAGCACCAATCATAATCTTGTTCCCTCCACTACAGTGAATTGTCAAATCGTCACAAGTTTGATTTTCCCTGATTTGGATGTTTCTAACAGAAACCACTTTATGTGGGATATGAAACGTGAATCTCCACTTGACTATCAAGAAACTGAGACATCATTGTAGCCAACAATGGGATGCAAAAGCTGAATAAGCATCCGCCATGATCTTTATTCAGAGACTTATGCCCGAAACATTACAAACGGAAGTATCTCTCGAACAAGGATTCCATGGCTATTTGGCTCGCTCTTACGGACTGTCTGATCATGCGAGATATTGCTTGAAGCACAACATGATTATGTCCATGAATGAGTACAATCTTGAAGTTTCTAAATCCAATAGAATTTTGATTGGAGATTACTTTTTCTCGTCCTACCATGTTTCTAACTCCCTCCTAAGGCAGCAGTGTAGAAAGCGGAAGTTTACCAAATTCTCGGATCTAAGTACTACCACAAGCATGAGAGAAAGGTATAGACCCAACTTTGGGTCAAGTTTACCGAACGGTATAGACCCAGTTCAACCAGAGTCTACCAAATGGCTTAACCCAGTTCAGTCAAAGCTTACCGAATGATGATGCCCTATTTCGACAGGGATGCATCGAAGGGCATACTCTACTTCGACAGAGATGCACCAAACGATACTACTCTGCTTCGGTAAAGACCTACTGAACAGACCCCTCCAGCTTCGGCTGGAGCCTACCAAACCTAATTCAGGGTCTATCTTTCTCACCATCCAATTTTGAGATTGTTTTTACAACATATGGTAGAATTAGGGCCTGCCAAGGTGTGACATCTTGCCCAAAGCATGATCCTTGGCATCTAAGACCTAAAACTTCAAGAATAAAGGATATTATTCCCAAACCTCAACCCGGTAGAATCTACTTCCGTCTCAATGGAATAAATCATTGATTATGCACCTGTTCGTGCCTCTACCAATGTCATTGAGGAGTACCATTCTTGTAGTCAATCTATGAGACTAATTTTGCTCCACCAAACACCATTGGAAGAGCAAAATTTTGACATGAATGGCCTTGTTGGCCGAATCCCTTTAGTAACTTTGGTTTACTTTGTGAACATTTTTTCATGTTCTTGGATTCAAGTTTGGTGTTTGTTTTTCGTTATGGATAATCTTATTGATATTTTCCTTGAATACAAGTTAATTGAATCATGTTTCTTGTATACATGTGACCAAATTCAATTAAACACATGATTAGGTAGGAATGTGGGGAATGTGATACTACGCACACTAACTTTAGACCTAAATCACATCTCTAGAAAATACTTCCAGTTTATCCAACCTAATTAAAAGCATTGGCATGCTCCTCGTTCTATGAATGGTACTGAATTACCATGTTAGAGACCTTATACTCTATCCATTCTAAAAGAAATTCGTCGACTTTTCTTAAGGATATTCGAGATGACAATGGTCATTAATGAAACCACTGAAGAAAATAGAGTGAAATATCTTTGCACCACCTCCAAAAATGAGCTTAAAGCTTTGATTTGGGGCCAATGGGCTATCTCCCAACTAGGAACACGCTACATGTGGCCAGCTTGGAGCTTGGTGATTGAGTAGTTTACTTGTTTTGGCAAGACCATTTAGGACACTTAGGTCGAAAAATGATGCTATGACGCATCTTCGTACCCGAAGTACAGATCTTGTGCCCACAAGCACAAATTGCCAAGCCTGCTCATTCGAGAAATTGATTTCTAAGTCATCCCTCGCAAAGATACGAAACTACCTTCTTTTCACAGTGGAATGCAAACCATATAAATACTTATGGTTTTGGTTGATGAATCGACAAACTGGTCACATGTTTGTCCACACACATTGCTGCTAAACCCTGTGCCGATTAATGATTCACCACCCTACTTATCCCTTAAAGTCAGGGAGACTGGATAATGCTAGAGAGTTTATGTCGACAGTTTTCGATAAAGTATTGCATGTCTTTTGGGTTTATGATTGAACATCGAATTCCCACGTTCACCTTAAATAGCTTCGCCTAATGATTATAAAGCGCAATTTAAATGATCGCCCGAACTTTGGTGAACGTACCAAGTTTTTGATTTATGCCTAGGGCTATACAATCTTGTACGTAGCTATGTTGGTTTGCCTTGAGGCCCATTGTCACCTAACCTATTCGACGTTACAGTTAGTTACTGGGTACGAACCTAACACTTCGTATTTATGCGATTTGGGTGCGCATTCCATGTGCCAAGTTGCACCGCCGCAACATACCAATATGGGTCCTCAAAAAAGGATGTGAATCTTTGTCGATTATGATTCTCGTTCACACTAGCTCACTTAGAGCCCTTGCACGCGATCTTTTTACTGCTCATTTGCGAGTTGTCACTTTAATGAGACAATCTTCCCATCGTTAAGGGGATATAAGAACGTCAACATTCCTGTAGAATGGCGCAAATATGCGTGGACATTGCCCACTATGTCTCATCTCGATCCCCATACCGCACAAGTGTGATAAGCAAGTGTGATGAATCTAATTTTCAAAATATTGCTCCGAACACATTCCTCTAATCTAACTAAAGTGACAA